AGGGCAGTGTCACTGGCCCTCATATGTGGGATCTGAACCAGGGCTCTCTGGCGTCCCAAGCCAGCTCTTAACCAACGCGCCACTCGGCCGGCCCTGATCCTAGCATTTTGATCCCAGTAGACAGTTAGGGTCCTCCTAGCCCAGGTACTGTACAGTCTGTGGAGGAGTGAATGAATGGCTGAGTCCTCATTTTGGAGTACAGACTCTATAATCTGTACGCAATAAATGCGCATACCAGACGTATGAGTACTCTCCGGGACCAGGCTAAGCCTAAATAAGGGAGAGTCTGTCCTGGTCTGACGTCCTCCTCTCCAAGGTTCTGTCTGGGCAGTCACTGCTGAGAGTTCTGCACTGATGGCATGTGGCTGCCCACTTAGGCCCTTTTAAAAAGTTTGCTTCTACACTTAACACCAAGGGCGGTCAATTCATGTCAATGGAAGCCTTTATTTCTTTACTTACTGCAGGAGGCTTGGCTACCTGTTTGCCTCATGGGAAGAGCTGAGTGGTGGGTGCTACCTCTGTGTTTCTCTGTCCGACCTGAGAGCTCTGGAGACCCGCCCTCGCAAAGACCCTTAGAAGAAGTCTTCTCTGAGGAACGTCCATCTGGGCTGAGACCTCAGCTATGCTTCGCAGACTTTAAAGTACATAGGCATTCACCAGGGGTCTTGCTAAAGGACAGATTCTGATTCCGCAGGTCTGGGGTGCGTCCTGAAGACCGAGTTTGTGAGGAGGCCCCGTGAAACCCTCCTTGCTGGTCCCCGGCACACTGGAGAATGAGAGCAGAGAGTTCATGTAAGGAGAGCAGACATTCCTGACCCAGATGAGGCGCTCGGCTCCCCCATCAGACTATTTAAACATGATTCTGTAGGGCCCAGGCATAGGTGTTTAAAAACACCTCCGGTGATTATAACATGCAGCTAGGGTTTGGGTGGAGTGAGGTGGTTCTCAAATTGTCCCCAGACTGCAGCACCAGCAGTATCCTTAACTTGTTAGACATGCAAATTCTCAGTTCGGTCTCCACTCACCAACACCCCCCTGGGCCGCCTGCTCAGTCACAAACTCTGGGGTAGGGCCCAGTAATCTGTCTGAACAAACAAGCTCTCCAGGGCTTCTGATCTTCACTAGTTTAAGAACCACTGATGAACAGACGAGGGTCCTCCTTGAGAGAGTCCTCCTCCGAGAACTGGATCTGTGATTCTTAACCCTGGCTGCACATCAGACCTGTGAAGCAGCTTGATAAAAGGTCTGCGTGCCTGGGTCCCACCGCCATTCTTTCTAATTCCAAAGACCTGGAGTGGTTCCCAGGAGTACATGGCTTTAAAAGCACCTGGGGGATATGGATTTAGTGGCTGAGAAGAGGGGCGGTAGCCCCTCAACATGAATGTGGTTTGTGGCCTCCTGGCTTGCACCCTGCAGTATTCATCCATTCACTCCACATTTATCCAACCCATAATGTGCCAGATACTATGTGGATGATTTACTGTTTAATACCTATGATGTACCAGGCACTTTATACTTTTGCCC